TAGCCGTGAAATAGCTGTATTAAAGAATATATCTAGAGGTGGATAGTTTTCTGGGACACAATGTACTATTGCCCAGAAGAACCAAACTATTCCTAAAATGTAGCTTTGGTAGCGTATTGACTTGTAGTGTATACATGGCAGTAGTAGCTGCTAAAGTGAGTTCCTAAATTCTGAAGTGCAGAAATGTGGGTCTGTAAAATGTGTGTGAGAGCTCTGCTAAGCAATGCTTCCCTAGGGACTCTGTCTATAGCCCTCCCTCTCCCCACCGGTTTTCTCCAGTTCCTTTGTTAAGACTGAGGACCCACCCTACTTCCTTCCCCTTTTCCCATTCACTTATGAAATATGGGTGGGAAGGGGATTTTGCACATTCTGAAACTTAACCTTGGCGTAGTCTGCTGCCAGGGTAGCGTCCCTGTCACTCAGCCTCAACCAGGATTTCCTTTTCCCTGTTTCCTGCAGCCTCATCCTGCAATTCTGCCTACGTCAAAGGCTTCCTTGTTCACAGATGACTAGGGGAGACCTAGGGTTTTCTGGCTGCTGTCCCTCTTACTTCACCTATTAAAAGTTAGTCTCTGCCTTTTTCCAACTTCTCTTTGGTCCGTTACTTTGTTTTAAAAATAAGGCTAAGCATAAGGTGAAAGCCCTCTTTTTACTCTACGTGAAACACTAAAAGCAAAAGTGGTTTTATCATTCTGTATTCAAACTTGCATCATGTATGTAGGCAAGTAAAGTTTAGAGCAACCATGGCATTACTCAAAGTTTATCAACAATTTAGTTTAACCAAGAAACTACTTAACTACAAACAGAATTTTGTAACATTATTGCTTAATAATGAAAGCCAGAATTCAGGTACATATAATGGGCAATTCATAATATGTTAAGTTGCCCGCCTGACAAACCGCTGTGTAGACATGATGTTGTTTTTCTTAATAACAAAAACTTGACTTTGCGTTGGTTTCGTGCTAAGGTCCCCTTTCATAGGAAGGAGACTTATTTGAATGAATGATTCTAGTTCATTTTTGACCAGGATTAATATGGCCACAGAGTAACACAAAAAAATGGTAGAAGATGGTTCATGCCTCCCAGAAGTTTACAAGTGAGCTGGGGGGGAAATTCACACATGGAAACAAGTAATCTCCAAGTGTTTTACTACTGTGACAGACATTGAGAGAGGGAAACACCCCTGGTAAACACATTTCACAACTGCAGCAGCCCATGCTCCTCTGCATTCCACAGCAAGGCTTACAAGTGTGGTTCGCTTCCCGTGCTCTTTAAATTCTGGTTTGTTGCAATTATTTATTTATTTGTTTATTTGCCAGGAAAATGGCAGCTGAGCTGCCAGTGAAAGCGGCGTGCTCATGCTGTCTGGTGGAGCCATCTGCTCATTAGCTCTGTTTTTAAGTTCTCACAAGAAGCCCATTGCAAGTCCCGACACTGATATTTTTTTTTTAATGAGTTTCAACGTTTTTAAAGAGAGAAATTTGTCATTATGGCATTTGTTTTTTTTAAATACTCAAGGTTATTTTAAAAAGCCCAGTTAAGAAAAGTGATACTGGCTCAGTGAGATTTATCAAGATCATGTTCTCAAAGATCTTGTATTCCCCATGGGACAGATGCTGCTCCCTAGGTTGATGAAGTTCTTACTCTTAAAAAATTAAAGTAGTTGTGTCGTCTCTAAAATGTCCGAGCGGGGCACCTGGGTGGCTCAGTTGGTTAAGCGTCTGGCTTCAGCTCAGGTCATGACCTCCTGATCCATGAGTTCAAGCCCCACGTCGGGCTCTGTGCTGACAGCTCAGAGCCTGGAGTCTACTTCAGATTCTGTGTCTCCCTCTCTGTCTGCCTCTCTCTTTCTCTCAAAAATAAATAAACATTACAAAAAATTTTTTAAATAAAACGTCTGAGAAATCATTAAAATGAGATATTGAGAATCAGGTTATTTTTCTTTTGTTTATGCCCTCGCCGGGGGGGGGGGGGGGGGGGGGGGGGGGGGGGGGGTGTCTTGCTCCAGACCCTGGACAACCTTGCATTCTTTTCCTTTCTACCCCCATCAAGGCCTGATCTGCATTATTGCTAATAATACAACAATATCATTACCTTCTAGATTGTTGTCTGATTAGGTAACACTAGAAATCTTTGGTAGTTTGGTTTCATTTTTTGTTCATAATGGATGCCTTAACACCAAAAGGTAGGGAAAAGATGCACAGACAGATGGGCAGTCCTTCACAGACAGATGGACAGTATTTCATGACAACTATGTACCACTGAGGCTTGGAGAAATAAGAACATGAAGAGATCTCAGGGAGAAGGAAGACATAGGTACCAACTTATAAAGTGCTTTCATTCCCGTGGAAGGTCCTGAGACATCAAAGCCTGCAGAGAGCTAACACTGCAAGAAATTCAGAGGCTGAATTCACAGTTCTCTGTGTGGTAAGTGTTCTGCAGAGTGCTATGGAAGCTTGTCACAGGGGTCTAGGGAGACATGCATACATCCCTGAGGAAGAGAGAATCTGAAGGGCCAGAGGCATCACTAGGAGAACTGAGGAAAGACAGGCATTGCTGGCAGATGAGGGAACACGAGTGAGGATGCGAGTGTGAACGGCTCATGCCAAGAGATGATGCTGCAGCCCCGGGGGCAGAACCAAGTGGCTGGGGCATGGCCGCAGGGGGAGGGCCACGGGGGCCAGAGGATGCAGAACCTTACAGGCTTAGCCAAAAATTGTGTGCTCCTAGCCAGATAGCTTTGAGCTCTTGTGGAGAATTTTATAAGCAAGAGAGAAGAAGGTGATTTACAGTTGAATTTTTGAGACTCCTCTGCTGCAGCGCCAGAATGGGTTTGCAGGAAGATGGGTCACACTCGCTTCCTTTTTTCACAGGCTTCTCTGTTGGTTTTACAGAAGCAGTCACCAGCATAAACTAAGGATTTCGTGTGAGGAGCTCCAGTCCGTGAACTTGAGCTAAAGTCCCTGGGAAGGCAGAATGTCCAATTATAGCTCAATTCTGATTCTTTAGCTTTACCCTAAAATACACCACCACACTATCATTTTCTTGAAAACGCTGGCTGTGATTCAGTCCTGTTTTTATAGAAATGAATTTTGAGCTTGCATGTCATGTGAATACTTTCTGTTAATGACATAAGCTTATATGTTCACTTTAAAAATACTTACTCTGTGGTATAATGTTTGCCTCATATTGATTCAGCCAAAGTTTGGTGATTTCTGAGTGATTCAAATACTTCAGTTGATAAAGATGAGGAAAAGAAATGTATAAAAGATTTCCATATAAGATGGAAAGAATTTTTTTTTCCTTTTGCAATGGGAAATGGATTGAAGGAGGATTCCATCTGGCATACAGCAGCCCTAAATGTTGTCTTAAGATAGCAAAAATAGAAGATTGCTTAAAATACCATAACAGAACATAACAGACTGCGGCCAAGTGTGCAGCACATATTTCTCTGATAAATCATGTTAAATACCCACATTTTACTTAAAACATGACCATGTTCTTATTTTTCATTACATAAAAATTTGTCTTCAATTAAAAAAAAAAAAAGTCCATTCCATTACTGAAGCAGGAAAGGTTTGTTTTTTTTCTGTAGAAGTTGATGCTACAGCCCTTAGGTTTACCTGGAATAGATTTCTTAATTTTTCTGGTGGTTGTTGTTTTCCAGGATTTCCCTCCTATATTAAAAAAAAATGGAGAAATAAGATATGGCATGTAGATTCATTTACTGTACATTTGTCCATAATTAAGTGAACAAGGCTCAACAATTTTAAGAAGCCCTTGTAAATGTCCTCTTTGTTCAGGTTCCAGGAATGGCTGGGCATGATTGAGGCAAGCTGAGTCAGAATAAAGGATTAGGGGCTCCTCGGGATCCAAGAAACACATAGAGGGAGAGACTAATGGTGATAATAAGACAATTAAGATGGCAGGAAGTGGCTTGGGGGTAGGGATTTGTAGGGAGGCTCATGAAAACTTAATGAGTCATAAGAGCATATCTTGGTGATTGCAAAAGTGGGGGTGGGATAGAAATAAGGTAAAATTTTGGCCCTCTGTAGTCAATGAGGAGAGAGAATGGTACTTCAGACAGATGAGTCCCTAAACCTTTCATGATCTTGCCTTGGCTAGGATTTATAGAGGTAAAACAAGCTTCATATTGACACTCTTATGAATACAGAAGTCTAATGATCCCCAAATGGTGCAATGCATAATAAAATCCTAAACTGAATTTTATGCTTGATGGATGCTATCACTTTCTTGCTGCTCAGTGAACTTACTGTTATTACAAATTGGGGGATTGTGATGATGCGTTATTTTTTGCAATCAATCTGAGTATCCTGGAGTTTTCCTCTGAGAGTCATAGCCAATGGGAAGAACTTGAGATATCCTGTGTCCTGATTGTTTGGGTAAGAAAAACTTTCAATCAAAAACTGGCACCTGCTAAATAGGATTATAAAGTGTTCCTCTAAAATGGGCAATAAATACTATACAGTCCATTAATTCTGTTGTAAGTTTGTTAATCACAAGAAAAGTTTAGAAATATGTCCATTAATGATATTCTTCTTGTAAAAATAGATACCTTTTAATGCCTGTAATCAGAAGCAAAAAAAATCATTAATAAAAATAATAACTAGAGATCTTTTAGGTTTGTTAGAGAAAGTTATAATTCAATCTTGGTGTTTTTATCTGTGTTCCTAAAAATGGAGTTTGTGGGGACATTAAGTGAGGCTAGCTTGATTGAAATGACCTTTGTCCCCATAAAACATTTCTGATGAACTGCTTCTCCCCTATTTATTACCAGTTTCCCTATCAGAAAATTAACCCAGCAACTCCCAAAAGCAGGCACAAGCAATTTTGTCCGCAAAAAATAAATGGGATCATTCAGTGCTTTTCATCAAATATCCCTAGGGAGGCAGAGCTCTAAAAAATTATCTCAGTATTAAAACAATACTCAGAGATAACTCTAAAAACGTGGGAACCAAGAGGGTAATTGAAGCCATGGAGATAATACTGTGTCCTCTAGTAATTTGTATGACTGGAATTTTAAAAGATGTAAGTGAACAGAACTACAAAATATAAAAATGGCAGAGACACGTAGCACACATGGCCCCAGTTGGTGCTGATGTAGAGCAACAGGTTTGAGGTTAAGGGATAAGCCAACCAAGGTGGTAAAGGGAAGATTTTGAGTGTGGGTGAGGCAGAATTCTGACTAACCTTAAAATCCAAGAGAAGAAGTCTTGGAACGAAGCAGAGAGCCAATTTTATTCTGATTGTCTTCTGAGGAATATACTTGAATGCCAGATGCTTGTGGACAGAAACGTTTCATGACTTGTTGAACTATTAAATGCCATTTCCATTATAATTTGGCAATCAAGCCTGACTTTATCTCAATTTTAAGTAGATCACATTTCCGTCCCAACTCGGTAAATCTCAGATTCCTGTCCTTCAGTATTATTCATAATCTTGGCATAGAGCAGAGATCTGCACAGACCTGAGGAAAGTTCACCACACCCTGGAAAAATCCTTGTTCATAAAGATCAGAGAGCCCTAGGTGTGTTCAACACCTGCAGCTGTTGTTTCTCTTGTTGTACACCCCCCACGGCTCTGCAAGGCTTGCCACTTTGGCGTCTTTGCCCTGATCTCTACTCTTACGTATCACATCTGGTGACTCCAGAACCTCTGGTGAAGAATATGGTGGAAGAAATGTTGCTAGTCCATTTTGGCCTAAACCTAAGTTTTTGAGACTACTTCAATCCGGAAGAGAAAAGCCAGAAATGGTGTCTCTTCCTTCTGAGTGACAGAGGATGGCAGGCTGCAGGCATAGCAGTCTGAGGGGCCCTAAAGAGAAGAGCTGGGTAACACAGGCTCATGGGAGACCCGGAGGGAATTGACAGTGCATTCCTTGGTTGAATGTGGTGACCTGCCAACGCTGGAGAATTCGGTCACTTACCTAACTGCGCTGAGATCTTCAGACAGAAGCCAGCATCCCTCATCAGACATGGAGTTTGTCTACCATTAGCAGCTGATCTCGGATTCCCAAGCCTGAGCTCAGAGACATGATGAGAAAGAATCCTAGTAGGTGAGGATGGGTGGCAGCCAAATAGCTATTCAGCTTGCTGCTGCCAGTAGTGATCATTCAGCCATTACACATAAAATTAACTTGGTTGAGGGCCCAATTTTTAAGCTCAGTAGAACTTTCTCCTTTTCATATATAGAGCAGATTTTTCAAATACCTGGCTAAGATTAATTCAGTCTTGCCTTCATTCATTAAGAAAAACATTTGTTGAGCACCTATGACCCAGGCACCACACAAAACAGAGCAGAGACGGGAGTGAGCAAGATCTGATTTGAGCCTCAAAGGCCCCCTCCCCTCTCTACGGAGGGAGAGAACAAAGATAGGAGACTGAAGAGGACCACCCTACCCACAGAAGAAAGGGGCATACTTTGAATAAGATATTTGTTTCCAGAAAATTGTTACTTCACATTCCTGTGAGGCATTTGCTAAATTCAGCATCATTTTGTACTTCCTGGGTTAGGACCGGGAAAGGACATAAATCATAAAAGGCAAAGGTCATACTTCTCAAATCTTAAGAAAGTTACATATTGTTGGCATTTGCCATTTTCCCCTCCTCCCATGCGCTAGCTACGAAATACACTTTTTAAAATAGTATACTGTTTATAGTTTGGGGCCTGTTTTACTGATTGAATTTGCTTCTGAAAACAAGTTTCTTGAAGAGGTTATAGGTGTTTTAACAATCGACAGCAAGGTATCAGGCACCTTGCTGGAGTTTATAGCACATTTCTGTGAAAGGTTTTTTTTTTTTTTTTTTTTTTTTGGTTTAAAATTGTTCTACTGATTGCAAAAGTAATACACGGCTTTTGCAGAAAATTTAGAAATATTAGAAAGCTACAGGAAGAAAAATTTAGTGGGCAACCATGATTGTCCCTCACCTTGCCCAGTGTGTCAGTATATACATTATGAGTCTTGCCTTATGTTTTCGTGGTGTACTTTACTTAATCACCCTTCAGTTTGGGCACAAATATGTTTACAAATTTTGCTGTTATAAATGATCTGACATGTACAACTCTAGAAAATTTTTTACCTAAATTTTTAAAATAAAGTTTGATTTATTTTGAGAGAGAGAGAGAGAGAGCGTGTGTGTGTGTGTGTGTGTGTGTGTGTGTGTGTGTGTGTGAGAGCAGAGGAGGGGTAGAGACAGAGCGAGAGGAAAATTCCAAGCAGGCTCTGCACTGTCATCATGGAGCTGGACCTGGAAACTCATGAACCACAAGATCATGATGTGAGCCAAAACCAAGAGTCTCATACTTAACCGACTGAGCCACCTAGGCGCCCTAATTTTATATTTCTTAAGGATAAACTCCTAGCTTAGTAATTTCTACTTACAGGTATGAAATGTTCATCTCTTTTATGTTTTTGCTCACTTTCCATAAAGCTTGTGCCAGTTTTCACTTACATCAGCGATACGTGAAAGTACTTGTTTTGTAATGTCCTCACCCTTACCCTCATTGAACATTGTGATTCTCAGGGGAAAAAATTAATTATTTTTTTTTTTTGGTTGATGGGGGGAAAGTATTACCTAGTTCAAATTCAAATTTCTCATGAGGTTGGACATTTGCAATTTATATCAATCCATTATCTTTCTTCTATAAATAACCTGTTTACCTCCTTTGCCCATTTTTCCATTGGAATTTTTCTCATTGATTTGAATAAGTTCTTTATATATTAAGCATATGCATCCTATTTACTGCATGTAGTTTTCTCCCATTTGTTTCTTGTTTACTTATTTTTATATGTATATGAGCAAAACAGTTGATTCACATTTTTTAATTTTTAAAAATACCATGAAAATGAAAAAGTCCTTCCCCATTCTGTGGCCAGATACTCAATTTTATTTTCTTCTATTTCTTCTAGAATTGAACTTTTCACTTCTGTCTTCAGTTGATTTACTATTTTGTTACCAGTGTTTAAAAAATCCATTTTATTCTGGTGGAATTAAAATTCTGTTAACCAACTTCCTCCAAATTAAATATATTGAGTACAAATGGAGTGAGTCACATTACCTCTTTGAGCTTCACTTTTCTCATCTATAAAGTTAGGAGATGAGTGCTCTAAGATTTCTTCTACCTCTCAAATTCTTTTCTTAACTTGAAGACACCACCCCCTCTCCCCCCAAATTCATCAGCATCCTTACTTTTGAGTGTTGGTACTTCTTGGGAAATTGTTGCCATTTTATAGCAGATAACAATTGATTACCCAGGAGGCTTTCAGTAGGCATTTTCTACTATGATGGAACATGTCTATCAATGCCAAGAATCATTCCGTTCTTTTATGTTCTAAAAATACTCCTGTGGATAGAACTTCTAAAAATTTACTCTCTGTGAAATAGTGTCGATATGGGACAGATGGCTGATCGAGCATATCCAGGGTACCTCTGCTATCAGGGTATTATAGTTATATTTCATGTCAAGTCATTAAATACTTGGAATTGTTTTCCTGAGTTCAGAATGTCCTGAAGAGGATTGAGAAATGCAATTCCCAAATAATGACAAACCAAAAAAATGTTAGATCTTACTGCCTTGAACTCTTAGAAATAACAAGGAAGTGGACTAGCTGTTTATACTGGCTAATAAGTTCATTAACTAACCACTATCCACAGCCTAGCTCCAAACTACTCCTTTAAAAAAAAATGCAGATTTATAGCTCTCCTATAAAGAATTTACTCTTTGAGGGCAATCCCCATTTTTATTTGGACTTTCATCCCCAGTGTCTAGCGCTAGGCTTTCAATCAATGTTTGAATCCAACAGAGAAGGCATTTGTAGGTGGTTTGAGATGTTTTTCCCAAGTTCAACCAAACCAAATCTGTACAAATCCAAAGTTTTACCAGATCCAAGTTTCCAGTTCTATGGAGATTTTCAGCTTTCAATGAAAGATTTTGTACTATAGGGAATTTACCTGAAAAAGCAGGCAGAAAAGACCGGGAGATTCATCACCAACAGTCAGTTTCTAAGTGTAGACAAGCCTTTGGGAGAATTCATACTTGGTAAAAAGTAGACAAAAGCTTTGAATCTTGAGTCACAGATTATGGAGCAAGGATTTTACCCTAGGCAGGTTTGTCTATGATGATTTAGATCCTCTTTGGCACCCAAGTACAAGTTAATATTCAGAAAAATAGAAAGTATTTTTATCTATATTGTAGCATTGAAGTACTTCCATTTCTTTCCAGTGTATCTTTTCTTCACACACACCCATCCCCCACCCCAGAAAAAGAGGGAGAAAGACCAATACTATGCAACCAAATTTATTTTTGTCTTATTTTAACCACGTCTCTCTCTTTTTTTTTTTACCTTCTAATTTCGTTTGTATGCCTCTCACATAGTTTTAGCAATATTTCATTGCCTTTTAAATTCTCTTGACCTATTTTAATACCAACTTTCTATACTTTTGCAATGAACCAAGAGTAATACAATCTTACCTTTCTCCCAGTCTGCTTTCAAGCTGGGGAATGAGGTTTTTGAGATGTTTACTGCAGAGACCAAAGGTGTGCCTCTCTAAAAACACCAAGGAATGTACAAAACATGAAAAAACAAGAATATTTTCTTAAGTTGCTTGTGTTTCCTTGTCTCCATGCCATATGATCTAGCAGTTGGTACGCTAACTAGGAATTTTTCATTCCCTAACTTGCGTAAGTACTCAGGCTGCCTCTTTTATTACTGCTTTGCCCTCTCTAAAGTTAAAAATGCATGCATATGTGTGCACACACGCAGACACACACACGTAAACACACATTTACATAAACGCAAAAGAGATTTGGGAAGAGTTACAGAGTTCCTTGACTTGGAGCCTTCCCATTTTCCAAGCATATTACTTTATACTTTCTTTACTTTTTATTAAAACTTGTTTTCTGGCTTTACTGAGATATCATTGACAAATAAAAACCACATATGAAGTGTACAATGGGATGTTTTGATGTATGCATACATTGGAGTGATTATCCCAATCAAGGTAATTAACATATCTGTACCTCACAGTCACATGATATGTGTATGTCTGTGTGTGGTGAGAACACTTTAGATCTACTCGTAGCAAATTTCAAGTATTCACAACTTTGTAAATTTGAAGAATACTTCTGAGTCTGTTCAGAGCTCACTTTTTCAAGTAATTTCAGTTGATAATTAGGTTTTCACTTAATGGAAGTATTTTCAAATAACTGAATTTCCTACAGGAGGAATTTGGAAGAAGAAGCCAAAGCTATAGGGAACAGTCAGGGCTAGCGTATCAAGTACTGTGCTAAAAATCCCTACTGTCCTCTTGTTACTCAGATTTTAAAGGCTTCTATAAAACTACTGTGCCTTATTCAAACCCCAAGTGACAAGGATATCTACAACTAAAATGTGGAAACTTTGAGTCATAATTTAGCATAGGTTTTCATCCCACCTCTCGGCTGCTTGGGGAGAGTGTCAAGATATTTTCCCTTTAGAATAACTTTGCAAGTATGTCACACACACATGCAGGGACACACACACGCAGTTGAAATTATTTGAGAATACTTGGAAACTAGAAGATATTTCTAGATAACATTTATATTTGTCACGTTTGTAAAATCTAGGAAACAAGATTTCAGATATTTTTTTTTTTTTCTGTCTCCGGTAACACACGTATTGTATTTTGAGGGCCGTCAGGATAAACCAGTAATGAGAGACAGAAATAAGAGCTGTTGCCGGCACTAAATCATCTCAGGTTTTCGCAGATACGTCGCAAGTGTATCCGTCTGCGTGGATGCCACGTATTGACGGAATTCACATTTGCAAAATATTGACAGTTTTTCTCCAGGGACCCTGGTGGTTGAATTTTTTCCCCTTTGTTCTTCTTCATGTTAGGAAATGCTTACAGATCTAGGATTTGAAGCATCCTCCTATCTTCTGAATTACCTTCAGGTAGGCTTCTATCAGGTCATATATGCACAAGGCAATGTCCTCAATTGCCTTTTGACCTAGACGTCTTAATTCCAGAGAAGCTAAGAGGTGAGACTTGGGTGATTCCCAGCTGATCCTTTGTATATTTATTTCCTTGGGTGCACTAACAAGGGTGAGTGTATGTAACTCATGAGTCTCAGAAGGAAATGACCATCATGTCTGGGGCAGAAAATTGACAGAAGCAGGGGGATTCAGTGGCCTGACCCCAGTGACAATGGCTGACATCACAGGTTGTTGATTGCTGCTGATGTTTTCTCGTGTTTACACGTTAGACTTGCTCGTGCTAAAAGATGCTGACTCCTCCCTTACAGATAGTCAGGAACCCCTCCCAAAGACGAGGAGCTCATAAAGCTCCTTAAAAAAAAAGCTTAAAATTTTATTTGAAAAATGTAAAAGTCAGAGACCACTGAAATTCATTGTCTCCCTTCTTTTAGATTTTAGCTTCTAGAAGTATATGGCTTTTTGGTGAGAGAGACTTAGGCTTGAGGGGTGAGGTGGATGCCAGAGAGAAACTATCTTGCACTCCCATGAAAATGAAGTTTCTCAATCCCCATCCCAGTTCTCTAACAGAGGGCATCCAGCCTTCTTTCCTCCAAGTTCAGTGAGCTCTGTAATTAACTTGCAGTGATGGCCTCTGGCTCTCTGTGGTACATACAGCACCAGACGGAGTAGTTTTCAATGCAACTGAAAAAGTTTGATAACATTATTTGTGTTTCTTTAAATATGGATGATATTTAAACACATACATGTGAACAAAATTGTAGCAAGGCCCTGATAAAAATTCAGTTTGTAACATTTTGTTCTTTCATATGCTTGGATGGCATACACTTACAGTATAGTTTTATGTTGTTCTGCATCCATTTATTGAGTGCTTTCTCTATGTCCAGCACTCATAACTAGGTCAGTAAGGTTAGTATTATCGCATTTCACAGGAAGGAAAACTGTTGCTGAGAGAGATTGAACAGCCCCATTAAGACCACCCAGCAAATCTAGGATATGAACTCAGGCAGGTCTGTCTTCACTTTGGTGACTATCAGTTTAACTGAATTCAGGTCATAGGTTCTTTGAAGGGCTGCCATCATCTGAGTTTGATTTTTGTGCTAAGAATTGGTTATTACCAATGAAATACAAATGGACCATATGTGTTGATTGTTCAGCAAATTAT